TGGACTAGATGACCTCTAGGGGTCTCTTCCAACCCAAAACATTCTATGATTCTATGATTCTATGATTCTATTTAATGCAGGTGTGTCACAGGCTGGCAACGTGTGGAGACTGGTGGCATTAGTAAATTAAAATACCAATAACTCAAGTGCCAGTTGAAAGATTTAGACCACCGCAGAGTTTAATATGGCCTATCAAGCCCTAAGACGAAAGCAATATTTTGATATTTTAGCTCATAGGTGCCACCGTCCATTCCCATCACACAAATCGACACAGACTCTCTACCTGCACGGAATTTTATCCAGTGGCACGTAATCTTCTGGTAATATTTCCCATTTTTATCTCGTCTAAAAAACACACTGAGGACGATTCCAATTGTTGATAGAAGCTGTAGTTAGCACTTGTCGTAAGAGCAAGATCATTTTCTCATTAGCTCACTGCAGTGTTAAAATTTCCATTCCATTACTCACGCTGAAGTAGAGGGGAACCCCTTTGGATTTTAATATTAAGCGTATTCTAAAAAAATCACTTCTGCCCTGAGACATGATAGCACTAAAACCCATAAAGAGCACTCTGCGCCTAAGTTCATACCAAATAACCCTAAAGGCACAGATGCTTCACCTTCCTCATCTTGGCGGTCACAAAATGGAGAGGGGAGCAAGGGTTGTGCTTTACCCCCGGTGCTGCAGAGCCACAGCCGGGGCAATCCTGCCCCAGAGCCCAACTGACACAAAGAACCAAGGTTTTGCCGTTGACAGTTGCAGCCATGGATGGGTTCGGCGCGCCCGCCAGCCAAACAGGATCCCCTCAGCTGCCAGCAGCAAATCATCCCGCTAATAAAAATGAGCGGCAAACGACCCCGTTAGCAAAAATCATAGAATCATAGAAAAGAATCACTTTGGTTGGAAAAGCCCTTTGAGATCATCGAGTCCAACCTTTAACCTAACCCTGCCATCCCACCACTAAACCATGGCTGCACTGGACTTAGAAGGGCTCAGATCCACCCCCTTGCTGCCTTTTGCAAATGAAAGGAAAACTCTGTTCGTTTTGAGTAGCGTGGAGAGAGTGACACAGAACAGAACCGTTCTGCTCCCTCCCAGAGGAACATGCTGTCCCGCGTTTAGGAACCAGCTCATTAAAGCTGCGCCGTCTTCACCTTGCTACGATTATGAAAGCAAAACACATAGGAAACTCATTTTAACGTCGATGCTTTTCTTTGAGCAAGCCAGTTGATACCTGTAGCAGGCCGCCAGAATCGCAACTGCCCTCCAGATCCGCCTGGTGCCCTGCTACCAGCAATTACCAAATACCTCTTGCGCTTTGTATGTGCACTGCCAAACGTTAGGGCAGGCTACGTAAGGACATTGTTCTAGCAAACTCATTCGGTGCAAGGAAAGCGGGTGCCACAGAAGAACATCATGCACAACAGCCATGTACATCTGATGGGTTTAGCAGTCTGGAATGGGGGCAAAAATGATGGGTCCCTACACTTCCATAGTCTCTTTTCTGGCAAACGTATATGCAAGGGTGGCCTGAGAAAGCAGAAGAACCATTAAGGTGTCAGGAAACAAAACAAAGAAATAGAAGACCAAAATTCATCACGTGATTATCTAAGGTGCCCACCCTGAGACAGGTCAAGCCCCTGAAAACTGGAAAACTACAGATGCTTTAGTGCCTGTGAAAACTGAGTCTTGAGCTTGACCTTAAAATGAAGGATACTTTTGAGAAATCATCTGCACGAGGCTTTTCTAAGCAAGAATTCAGGATCAGAATCGTGTTCTCCATCCGTAACAGTCTCTTACAATAAAGGAAGGGCCGTGGCTTACCCTCCGACACCCAGATGGAGTGGGGGGTCTAGAAGTAGCTTTGTAAGTGACGGTCCCGCAAAGCCCAGCTCTGGGGGTGGCACGTGAAGTGGGCAGGTCTAGGAATGAGGACTTGTGGCGCAGTCAGCACTTTGGGCCACACACTAGTGCATCCATAGCTGACAGTCGGCTCCGCTACAACATACAAATGCAAAAGCTGGCAGTGCCAAGGCTCCACTGAGCTCAGTCCATCTCCAAATGGCAGCATCAACCCTCTCTGAAGACAGGGAGGCAAGCTCATCGTCAGTACCTAGAAGACAACCTGCCCCAAATCCCATCCGACTCCAAGTAACCGAAGTAGCCTCACGCAGAAAGGTTTTAATCTCGGTTGGGTTTGGCTCACTTGCTTTATAAACTTATTCCTAGAAGACCTCTAGAAAAGATAACGGGGTGACTTGCTGAGCAAGAAACCATCCAGCCTAAGAGGGAGGGGGTGCCTGATCCTTTATTCACCTGGAATTAAACTTTAGGCCTGGCTTTCGTTTCTGAGATCAGATAGCCACTTGTGTACACAGGGATAAAGAAGTACGGAACAGCAGAATGTTCATCCCATAATTTGATGGCCCAGAAGCCCTAATCTCAAACTACTCTGCTTACACAGACTGCAAAGCCCATCAAAAATACCCCAGTGCTATTTCTGAGAAATAAGCAATGCAGGATGGGAGGGGAGATATGGAGGAAAAAAAAAAAAAAAAAAAAAAAAAATTTTTTATGTCTAAAGAGAGAGGAGGAAAATGTTCATTAAGAACGTTCTCCCCTTGTGCAGCAGGATGGGGGGGGAAATGGAGAAAAAAAAAAAAAAAAAAAAAAGATACACGCAAGACCAGCCTTTAATGCTTAATGGTTCTCACCTGGAATAACAGAGATAGTTTTCAAAGCTCGGAGAACTCTGAAAGTTCTCAATGCTGAGACATTCCCAAGGTCCACAAACTCTGTGACATATCTGCAATGAGGGAGGTCACACACAAAAAACACCATGACAATACACACACCAAAATAAAACCACCACTACAGACAAAGCAATACATCACTCACAGGGGCCTGTACCCAACAGCTAACACCAACCGGAGGCCGCCTTACCTGGAATTACAGAAATAGTTTTCAAAGCTCTCAGAACCCTGAAAGTGCGCAGAGCTGAAACATTGCCTAGGTTTACAAACTCTGTTATATACCTGCAGAATTAAACCAGAGTTAATGGCACCGTTGGGGTCACCTTCCTTTCCATACAGCTGTCTGCTTGCAGGAGACAGCTGGGCATTTAAAATGCGTTAGAACTGGCATTTAAAAGAGAGAGAGAGAGAAAATTTCAGAGCCAAACCACCGTTTAAGTCTCTCCATACTGCAACCAGCTGGCCCAGGGGCACGGGGAGGTACCCGCACCCTTGCCTCGATAGCATTTGGGAATTTAACGCCGTCTCCGCAGGAGGAGGCAATTGTGAAACCGTCAAATATGCGAGGAGGCTCGGTGGCTTCACCTCAGTTCTGTGGTTTCAGGTTCTATTTGCTTCACTTTGTCTTTTTAATAAAGCACGGTCACCTTTTGCTTTGATTAGCATCCTTCGCTTTTATCCTTTAGGCTTTACTACTGCTTGTGAGCCACAGGTAGGGAGGGTTACCCCCAATTTACAAGGGGATAAACCTGAGACACACGGAGGCTTAGCGCAAGGTGAACAGAGTTGTATTTGACCACAACTTGGGACAGAATATTTCCTCCATGTTGTCTGGGGAGAAACAGGGCGTAAAAAAGCAAAGAAATGCACAATATTCAAGATTCCTCCCGGCACAGAAAGGCCGCAAGCGCTTCATAAAACTTAGACCCTCTTAGTGGGATTTAAATAACGCGCAGGCTCCAGAAAAGGATTTTATGTGAAGCCTACGGGCAACCCCGCTGGAAACGAGGAGGTTGCAGGGTTAGACCAGGTAGAGATTTAACACATTGATTTCAGGCCAGCGCACTGGGCCTTTTAAAGCTGGCGTGCTGTTCCTTGTTAATTTATGGAGAATCAAAGGAAATAACCGACTCACAGGTCGGCTTCGGTCCGCGTGCACGCCCGCACGGGCGCTTTACACCGCGCACAGCAGATCCCCGTCTATGCCGAAGCCAAGCTGAAGTGTCAGCGAGCTACTGGTCATTTGCCTTTTGTGCACCAACTCTTTGCACATCATTTAAATACACAACAAAAAGGCACGTAGAAAAAGAGCAAAAACTCGGGAGGATCAACCAGCTTGGGTGCAGAATCCAGCCAAAAAAAAAAAAAGGGATTTTATAAGATTAAAGTATTTTACTAGAGTTAAATGCAAGTGCTCTGAACCCTTGGAAATCAGGGTCCCGAGCCTTCCTCCATGGCCCCTCAGTCTTCATCGGCCGTTGTTAACTACGGGAGCCCAACCGTGCACACGTGCAATATTCCAAAAAGAAATGTAAAAGGGGGGGGGAAAAAAAAATAAAATAATCTCTTCCACCAGGAACTCCACCTAGCAGTGACATACAGCTGGCTTTCACCCGCGGTGCTACGCCTAAGCACCACCAACGCAGGCCAGTAAGGGAAAAACCAGAAAGCCAGCGCGCATCTCCTGGTTGGGCTGCGAATTCAGCCGCCCCCATGACCCCTCACTGTCAGACCAACCTAAGTTGATCTGGCGCAAGAGAGGAGAATGAGGAAGGCAAAGAAAGCGTCGCCTTTTCTGACACTGCACCTTCATTAGAAATGGGTTAATAATTATTCAACCTTAAGCCTGGGAAATCTTGACACGCAAGCCCAAGGAGGGACGGAGCGGTAGAGACCAGAATTTAAAGATGTTTGGCTCCTAGTCCTGTGCTTAACAGAACAAGCTGCCGCTCTGGCATGCGAGCAATCTAAAATGCCAGGCACTATTGTAAAGCCTTATATTAATAAAGGCAGTTTTCAGAAAATCTTGGGTTTTGGAGCAGCAACTCCACTAACTCCACGGAGTTGCACCTCGGATCTGTGACCCCGTGTCAGCCTAAAGCTTTCTTGGGAAAAACCGAGAAAGAAATCTTTCGGGGACTCACTTAAGTTTTCTTTGATTTATTTTTTTCAAATAATCTGAACGCACAACTTACGCCATCATGATCACACTGAAATCTAGCCAGTTCCATGGGTCGCGGAGGAACGTAAAGCCGTCTATACAGAAACCTCTTGCAATGATTTTCACAAGTGATTCGAAGGTGTAAATACCAGTGAACGTGTACCTGTTAGGGGAAAGAGAGAGAGGAGTTTGTAGAAACGGCATTTTAGTCCCGAAAAAAAGATGAATTGCAAAGGCTTTTGTCTGAACAAAGTGGCTATAGGAGACGGCTTGTATCCATGCAAACTTAAACGTGAGCAGGAACGCATTCCTCCATAAAAACCCAACGAAAATAGGAAAAACAACGTTCTGCGAGATTCTTAAGAGCAGAAGAAGCGTTACTTACTCCACATTCTTCGACCATTCGGGTGGGTTACTAAAAGTCATGAATACACAGTTGGTCAAAATAGTGCACATAATGATCATGCTAAATACTGTGGAACAAAGTCAAGGATCAAAGGGACAGCGGCATGGCTCCTCACGTCAGCCTAAGCTCCCTAAAGGTCACCGCACGGCGATAAAATTCAACTGCAATTTCCAATCTGTTCTCTGGGGGCCACAAACAGGAGCCAAGGTGCTTCCAGAGTCATGGGAAATAAGACCGGGGGCGACTATATGTAAGTAGTATTTTTACATCACCAATTTATTTTCTATTTTTTGGTATGTCTTAGCAATTAAAAAATCCCATGCCTTAATGAAAACGTCCCCCCAAATAATTTCATCAACTCCTAAACATCACAGTGTATCGTCTGCTAACCCATCCAACAGGAAAGCAGCGGTGCAACCTGTGGACAGCTAGGATTTAGCTTGGAGAGAATCTCACAAATCTTTCCCAGCTCCCTCTGTGTGTTCAGGACCTCCTGTCACGTCTGCAGACGGAAGGTGCTGGACTAAGGGATCTGAGGAGCGTTGCAGGGCCAGCACAATTGCAGAATTAGAAGTTTGAGTGGATTTTAACTGCTGAATGCAGTTAGTGGTGAAAGAATGGTGCAGAATGGTGAAATCCAGGGCCAGATCCAAAGCTGTTTGACTTCCAAAACTCTTTAAGCGGACTCCAATGGATCTTAGCTCAAGGCCCAAGATCCACTGCCAGCATCTCGGGCTCAAGCTGAGAGCACTGCATCCCTCAGCTGCGTCCCAGCACGTACAGAGGGGAGGAAAGGCTACGAGAAATAACCCATGAGCCAAAGGAAACGTTCCCAGCCTCAGACCCCAACTTTGAGAAGATGGTAAAGCTTCTTCTTCATATGAGATGCAGGCAGTGGGGACATAGAAGCCTCAAAACCAACAAGTGAATGTGGTTCCGTTTTAGAGTCACTTTCTAAAAATAAATAAATAAACAGGGCAAAGCAGCTCATCCAATATACTGTTTTTTTTTTTTTTTTTAATTCTCCTAATAACGCATGCAGATGATGGTTCCGAAGCTCTCGGAGCTGTCTGAAGCCCTGCAGTGGAACATTTTGGAATAGCCTTGCCAGTAGAGATGCCAAAAGAGCAAGAAATCAGTCAGCGTCTAATTACACAAAAGGCATCTTTGGGTCCTTCCCCAGACACAAACTCTGTTTAACCATTTTAGCAGCTCGTTAAAGCTCGGCTCCTCTTCATGTGAAACCTTAAATCGTATCTGGTCCAAACTTATCAATGCCTGTGCACTGATGGAAGAACGGACGCAGAGGGGTACGATTTAGCCGGGAAAATAACCGAAAAGTTTACTTGATTGGATCTCTCCAAGGGGCTGTGCTTTTTCAGTCAAAAAAAGCAGGGGGTTGTGTATGCTCTGAGCCCAATCCAACTTCGCCGAGCACGGAACCGTAATTCATAGACACTACATGAATTTAGCAACACGACAACAGGTAAGAGATTTTTCAATATACAAAGGCAAAAATAACTCAGTAATAAAAAGGATATGAATGTATCAAAATTTTAATAGCTATTCTTCTAAACAGGTTAAAAGGACTTAAAATGTACAAGGCAGGTGTGGCACTAAATCGGAAGTGTGTTTTCCCTCTGTTTAGTACTACAAAGGTCTGCAGAGAAACAGAGAAAGAGAAAGAGAGAGAGAGTTAATGCATGAACATCAAAGCATGAATTGTACAGAAAAAGACGAACAACTTCCATGGTAAAACCCCAGCATTTTCTGCTTTTGAAAAGAATAATCTCCGTGATGAAGCTGCCATCAGGGTAAAACGTACCTACCAGGACACCATGAATAACTCTACTCCAAGCCATCCACTTCACCGGGCGCCTCAGAGCAGAGGCACGGGCGCACGTTCTCATCACGCGAGGGCGGCAGCACCGTCATCCCTATCTAACGGGTAAGAACCGAGGCTCGAAGCAGCCAAGGACCACAAATTCAGGAGCAGAATTAGCAGCTGAACCCAGACTCCACGCCACTGCCCAGTGCACAAGACCGTCTTTGCGGCACAGTGTCCGTGTAGCCCATGTGTGCCCCCTTCCCAAACCTCGCTACCCCAACGAATCGTGTTTTTACAAGACAGCGCCTCACCTGCAAAGAAGGACGGACAGGTAAGCGGAAAGAAAGCGTCATGGCAGAGTCCCCCGCCCCAGCAGACACAAGTCCCATCGCCCCCACTCATCCTCTCCACTCACTGGCAATTTTGAGCACATTCCACGTTGGAGCACCAGCTCCAGGCACAGTCATGTGCTCTCATCGCCTTTAATTAGTAGAGATGTTAAGGTTCGCTACTTTATACAGAACCTGTGGAATGAATCATGTAAACGTGAGGCAGAATCGATCTCATCTCTCCATCATCGGCCTTAAAATACAGACCCACTATTTCATCTCCCCGCTAGCGAACACGCCTATCAAAAAGCACCGGGAGAATCACACGCAGCCATCTGGAGAGGCAAAATTAGAACGGTGGTTGCTTAATAGCGGCACACTCAATGCACCTACCACTCGACTTGAAGGCAAAAAAGCCATTTGTGTGCACTGGAAAGCTGAAGCCCTTTCCCTGGCACCATTTTCCCATTTTAGATTCCTCCTGGGATGCTGCAGCACCAGCAAGGCAGGATGAGCCCCAGACCGCTGCAGGGGAACGGAGCAAAGCCGGACTCGCCGCAGGCTCGGTCGCCGGCACCAGCCCACCGTTTGGCACAGCCCTGAGCCTCCCGGAGTCCAACACAAGGGAATCCACCAGGGCTTTCTGCCAACGCAGTCGCCGTGCTTCCCCAGGAGACTCGCTCGTATGAAATTTGTCATTTCCCTCCTAAGTCGGTGAAACAATGTATTTTAGCTCATCTGGCTAAATTAGACCATTGAGCAGTAAATTATTTGAAAAGGAAATCAGAATCAAGATTGTGGTTCGGCAAAGATTAGTTAGCACAACCACTAATGCATCTCCCAACAAAAGCACTTTAAAGACAACCCTGGACAGCTCTTAAATTGCAGCATCAAGAATTAATGAACAGATTACCCTGGCACGTAACAAGATTCTAAAAGGCCGTAAGTCTTTCAGAAGTGCAGATTACAGAGTGATCAAGGGACACCCTTGCCTCTCCTTGCCTGGCACCACAAACTTCTCAAGCCTCACATTTTAAAATCTCCCCTCGCTGTGCCCTGCAGAGGCTTCGGAGCAGGATACCCATCACGCTGGGGTGGCTCAGGGGCTTCGGTTGCGTCCCGAGCACAACCCCGAGCTCACAACTCCACCACATCTTTTAAGCAATGACATCTCCGACGTGACTCTGCTCAACATGATGAGGGCACAAGGTGAGGCGGGCAAAGGCAGAGACTCCCCCCTCCAAACCCACGCAGTGTGGTTCTGCGAGGCTCAGTTTTTTGTTACCGCCTCCATTTCCACATGGGAAACCCCACGGTGCGGGAGCCCTGTGGCTTGCTCAGATACAGCTCAGCAAGGCAGAAGCAAAACCGAAGGAGACGCGGGTACGTGCCTGCTGCTTCGCGGATGTAAACCAACCCAAAGGCTGCAGACCTCTGCCAGGAGAGCAAGCCAGGCTCAGGCAGGGAAAGCGGACGTGCGCTGCTCTATACGGGGGATCAGAGACCATTTGCCTTGTGCATTGGGTTTGTGTGGCAAGGTCTTGGTAGTGGGGGGGCCTAGAGCTTCTGTAAGAAGCTGCTGGAAGTT